AGTCAGCCACAAGTTTGTTACAGCTAGTCTTCTCCAGCTTAGTAAATGGGCACTCTCTCCTTGGGCCTCAAGCAAAGGAATCCTTCAGTCACTGTTGAGTCTCTCATTCATACTTCACACCCAATCCATCAGTGTTCTCTTACTAGCTCTAATAAAAATACACTGAGAAACAAGGCTTTCCAAAATTATTTCCACTGCCCACTACCTCATTCAAGTTACCATCATTTCTCACATGGATTATCACAATACTCTATCACTACTCCCGCGCAATTGATTGCCTCTGAAAACCCGCTGGAGGATCAGCTATGGGTTGGTTCCAATCTGACAGTAAACAAGTACTCTTTTTTTTTTTTCCAAGATTTCTCTATGAATTCACCCCCTCAGGTCTGGTTCAATGTCACTTTATCAATTGGCCACTCCAATAGCAATTGTATATTCACATCTACTTTCCCAGGCCCTTCCCTTATTTTCTCTTGACAACCTACTCAGCACGTTATTTACCAATTAAAATGTCATTCTGTAAAGGTCACGGTCGGGTTTTCTCTTGGCAGCACTACACACCATGGACTATGCCACCAGAGCTCTTGGGAAATTAGGTTTCTTTTGGCCTTAAAAAAAAAAGTATATATGTATAATCTCTTTTCTACATGGAAAAGAGAAATTAAAAGTGTTATCTAATTCTACAGTCTACAGACTTTATAAAATTCTAGAAAAATCTAACTTTTCTCAGATTTTTATTAATGTTTTAAAATAGCTAGAAAATCCGTAAAATGTTAACTTTTAACTTAAATCCACAGCACCTAAAAACAGAAAGACAAAACCTCTTTAAAAGGGTAAAATTTGGCAGAATGAGAAAAAAAAATAACCATTTTACTGTTACTTTCCTACTTATAAAGACCCATAAAATACAAAAAAACTCCATTAATCTTGGCATTGCAAGACAGTAGAATTTAAAGTCTATTTTTGTAAATAAATCAGAATAAAATAAAACATTTTTAGAAAGTCTACTACAGTATTATATTTTAAACAGTACTTCAGATATGCTAAGTTAGAACTCATGAAAAAGTAGGACAAGATGAACGATCTTCTCCCATGTGAAAACATGGAGGATTAGTTAGAAGTCAGTTTCAACTCAATGGTAAATATCTTTAGGTGTTACCAAGCTGATCCAACTCATAGCAGCCCTCCGTCCAACAGACCACCACCTGGTCATCCTCCCAATCATTGTCAAATTTGAGCTCACTGGGCAGCCATTGTGTCAGCCCATCTCAAGTATCTTTTTTTTTAATTCTGACCCTTTAGAATACATTAAAAACACCAAATTACTTTATCCATTCTACAAATAAAACCAGCTGTACCACTAGCCTAGAGAAAAGGCAAAGAAGGCACTATAGCTACAGGATATGCAAGATTTTAACATGGGCCTAGCAAAGCTAGTTCATTTTTAAAAGACTTATTTGGGGGAAAAGCAATAGTCTTTAAAAAGATGTTAAGATTTTTCACTGAAAACTTAAAAACTAGTAAATCCTCATTAAATATTAATAGTAATTTACTCAAAAGTTAGGGCATAACTTCAGCTATTATTTTTTGGAGTTGATCATTTAAGTCCACATATATTTTGGGCTTCCACAATATCACAGATAGCTGGGTATACTGACAGAATAGTCTTAGGAACTTGTTAAACCTATTAGTCTCTTTTACAAATACTGATGAAAGTAATGAAACATTCATTTAAAATTTATATGAACCAAAGTATTTAATAATTCAGACTGGCCTTTCACACACAGAAAATGTATGCAATTTTACTGCGATTTCTCTTTTCTCTTGAAAATAAACTTTTCTCATAATGTTTCTTGTGATGATTTCCAGGGGACTAAATGATACTTCAAGATGGTAGAATTCTTTTTTAGGAAAAGGGTTCTGTATTTTGCTTAATTTAACAAAAAATACTATTTATGTATTAAAAATTCTCCGAAATTATTTTATGCTTTAGATATTTAGGAAATATGAGAGATGTACCACCAAATTTTAGGGTACAGGAGTCTAGAAAGCCAGAAGAAAACTTTATGAAACTAAAAAAAATAAAGTAATAGTTTAAGCACACTTTTTAAAGAAGGCATTACAACACACTGTTAGTAATTTTACTACCTCTTTCTTGAATACATTCAAGAAATCTTTATATAATTTCTGTCAGTCAAGCAGAAAGATATGCTCTCAATATTGCAAAAGATGTGTTTCATTAGTAACATATTTCATATATTCATATTATGAACTACTGAACTTTTTGTATTCCATCAAATTTCTTATTATTATCTCCCTTCTTAATCCCAGGTCATAGTAATGAATACTGTTAAAACAAATTTTTTATTTGCTAGATTAAGACATGTGACTCCTCAGGACCAATATATCAGCTTCATCCCCCATTCCACTTTAAGAGACAGTATATATGAAGAGTAAACTCCAAAGTAATAAAACTTGTGTTATTATCCCTGAAATTACTATTACTTTCAAAAGAACATTATGCCAAGGATTTTTATTGGCAACATTTTAAAAAACAAGAAATCGTTAGATAATGAAAGTCAATCATGGTTAATTCAGGTATAGATCTGAACCAAACATTCCTTAAAAAAAAAAAATCAAATTATGTTAACTGGTTCTCTGGCAATTTCTTAAAGAAACCATGCTTCATTTATCAGTCCAGTGGGAACAAGAGGTAGGGCAGGCATCATCTATTTCCTCCCATAGTTCAGAATCATTAACGCTCTTCTATTTTCTTCCAAGATTATTCCATAAGCAAAAAAGTCAATCTCCAGGCTATAAAGCACCACAAAGTATTTCATCCCATATAAAAGAAATAGCAAAATTTTAGAACAGGACTCCTGGGAAGGCACTTAAAGCTAGCTAGGCAAGAGGAACCACAATAGCTAAGGGACAGCTTTCATATACTGCAGATTCCTTAGCACTACCTTTTTCGCTTATACCACTTAACTTCAGGATCTTACCAGTTACCCCATGCATTAAATGCAGTTCAAATCTAAATTAAGACAAGAGAGACATAGTCTACACACACTTGATAAATGGAACAGTGTAAATCTGCCTCCAAATCAAGTGAATGTTACAATGTTAAGAAGATCTAAATGAAAAACATGAGAGGACCTAGCATGGACTGGGTGTTTCTGACGCAAGTCTTTAGTTGGGTAAGCAAAGTATTCTCCTATCTTTTATTTTTGCAAGACTTTAAGTTTTCAGAGGAGACCCTAGATCAATCAATTCAGTACACAATGGTAACCCAGGGTCTACCAAGGTGCCTGGAAAAAAGGCCTGGTGACCTTGTGAGAAATCAGCCACTGAAAACCCTGGAGAACTCCACTGTGATACACTGTGAGTCAGTTAACAAGTCAGCTCAAAGCATGTGGCATATTGGTGATAATAAAACAATAAAGATGATAAAGTTATTACAACTATGTCTAAACTATAAACTGACATCTGGCAAGATATCATTTATAATCTATGTTCTGGAATGAAAATGAAGCTAATAGTATTTTCAAGTTAAAAAGTTTTTCTTTGAAGATTTATAGGTTTAAAAATGTTAATTTTTTTTCTTTAGGCTATATCTGATAGCAAAACAGTGATGTTAATCACATTACTGTTGGTGTGCTCAGTTTTGACAATTCAGTAATTCTATTACTTAATAAAAATATTGCAGGAAGATTTTATAAGATATGTAGAAAAAAGTTCCTTGCCATATTTTCTGTGTTTTATAAAGCTCTACAAATAAATTCTATAAAGAAGGCAATTATAACACTGGCAACCATTTTCTCCCAGTTCCTTAAGCAGGAAAAAAAAATCTTTACAATATTATGCTCCCCTAATAATTAATGCCAAAAATCATCCAAACAAATTTTTTAAGTATTAACACTCATACTAAATCCTGATAGGCATCTCATTTTTGGAAAAATAATCTACTTTTCACTATACAATAAAACTAGAAATATCATTGAGGTTATGGATGGACTGTGAACACGAATAGTTTCTTTATCACTAGAATACTGGATGGCTTAGAACAGAATTTACAGAGTATACTGCTGCTACTTCTGAACCCAGAATCCTCTCACAGTGCCTCATCCTATTAACTTTTCCTATATATCCTAAATAAATCCCCAAGGTCACAGCTCATGTTCTCTCGAAGAAAAAAAAGTGCTCTAGACAGACTTCTTCACATTACAAAATTAACGGTTAAAAAGATCATAGATAGGTCACTAATAACAAGTGATGACAATGCAAGCTGAATACTGGTCCTGTTCTCTCTGAAGGAAACTATGTGTCTAGATTGTTTTCTCAGATACAAATGAAACTTTCTAATGGACAGAGTAAAGAATTTAAAAACTCACACTTAAGAATATACATTTGAAATAATGACTTAAGCTTGTTGACAATACTGTTTAATGATTAAAAAAAATAATTTAACATATCTTTCAAATTTCAGATATAACAATTTTATGTGCATTAAACCTAGTTTTTACAGAAAATCATTATTCCAGAAGTCAAGGCCAAAAATTATTCTTCCTAATGGTGCAGAGATGAATAAACCAAACCACCACCAGATTACACTGCCAAATGTTAAGATGTGTAAAATTTTAAAAATTTCACAAGTTCATGGCGAGTTAGAACCTCAATAATTCAGATTTAAAAAAATAAATACCACTTTTGACACTCAAGGGACATCTTCACTTTTAAGGCCTTTGTCACAAATTGGAATCTTTATTATTCTGAAATAAAAGTTGTAAACATAAATCCAAACTTCAATAGTCAGTCTCAAAAGAGGTGTGGCTCAATGCCCATCACATGTAACAAGATTTCCTTTAAAAAAAAAGGAAAAAAGTACTATAAGAAGTCTTTCATAGGAATGAAAATGCACCCTTTGAATCTTCCCCCTCATCTCATTAGCTTGTATACACATCAGAATCAAAAGGTTTGCATTTTCTTCACAACAGTTCTTGTTATGATGCTTGACGGACTTTTTGCCACTCAACAAATTCATCAAGAAGAACAGGCCCTGGAAATAAAGAAAGATTTTTTTGTTAGAATGGAATGAGCTCATCTACCCAACTATAAAACTAACTACCCATCAGCTCCATGACAGAAGCTCTTCCTGCAATTTCAGGTATTTTGTTTCCAGTCTCCCTCTTCTACAGAACTGTGGTTCTTGAGCAAAGTTTCTATTTTTTTTTGTTTTCGGGGGAGAGGACATGAAGGTTAAAACCAATGGAACTTCTGGAAAAAGGATGCTAGTAGGAATGTCCATTTTAAGACTGTTTGAGGAATATTTCAATAACTCAGCAAAAAACTCATCTTTCCCTTTTTCTATCTGTCCACATTATTCTGTTATTTAAATATCAACAATCTGGAAAGTGTGTACAGGTTATATTTCTTTGGTATCATCCCATGATCCTGTGTAACCTTGTTTGGAAGACTGTAGACTTATTTTGTTAAATAAGGTCCACTGGACCTAGTGGAACACAAAACAAACATCTAATGAATATCTGATACTAAATAAACCAAGAACAATTCTAGAAAACCTATTTTATAGGCAGGGGTTCAAATTCACATACCTAAGGAAGCCAAATAAATTCTTTAAATAAGTCTAGTGGTTTTTTGGTGTGTTTTTTTAAAAAAAAAGGAAACACATTATCTCACATAAACTAAAGAAATATGCTGCCCTATTTTTTCTTTTTATTAAATTATTATTAATTTTTATGAAAATTGTTGCACTTTTCTCCCTGCCCACCCCACCCCTCCAGTACCCTTCTCTTTGAAAAGTAAAGGAAAAATCCTTTCATTGGTTTACAATTCCTGCCCCCAGGTCCACTCCCCTATGCAGCCTTCGTTCTGGACTCCTGTCATTACAATAATACCTAATCATATATCCCTTTTAATCAGTTTTCTCCCTCATCTGTTTGAATGCTGCCCTATTTTTCTTGACACATACTAAACTCTAAAAAACAAACAAAAACCACACAACAACAACAACAAAAAAACCAGCAGAGCAATCACAGTGACAAAAAACTGCACATCACATGAGCGAACTGGAAAACAATCTCACATGAGGTGGTAGTTAGTCACTACTTGACTCGTACCTCTGACTCCTGTGCAGCAACACAGATGCAGTTCTGTCAGGTTTTTCCAGACAAAACCAAAAGCTATATTTACACACACACTCTACTCTTAAATGCTGGCTTAAAAGATACAAACACACATCTACAGGTCAAGACCCCTGAGTTGCCAAGGTTTACACCAGATATTATTTTTTAAAATTTGATTCTAAGGGCTGGGTATTATATTTGTGCAGAATCAAGTTATTACAGATATGTCTTGGAGAAAGGGCAACCAGAGTGCTCCTTGGAGGCAAAGATGATAAAGTTTTGTCTCACATACTATGAGCATGTGGTTAAGAGAGGCTATTCCTTCAAAAAGGAAATGATGCTTTAAAAGGTGAAGCATTGGCAAAAAAGAGAATCAGATGAACTGACTATTACTGCAATGGGCTCAAGTTTGTCAGAAAGTATATGGATGGCACAGGATAGGACAGAATTCAGATCTGTTGGTCACAGGGTCACTATTAGTCATAATCAACTCGATGGCACCTTACAACAATTTTATTTCTTCAGCATCACAGAAATAAACCTATAATTTCAGTTTACATTTACAGGAATGTTCTTTTCCGTGTTATTCCTCTGAACATTAAAATTCAACATGGCAGTAAAAACTTAAAGTTGCAGAGAATTAATTGGGCATGTCTACTTAAAGATCTGTTTCATAGTTTTTTAGCTGTTCTAGTCAAGAGTGTGGACATTTTAATCAAAAGGTCTGAAAATACTTCACTATTTACTCAGAGGAAACTAATGGTTACTGAAGTTATCTTGAAATTTTGTACTTTTTTGACAAAAAGCACTATTTATAATATTAACTGAGCTTCTTCTATTGTATTTTGCTTTCATACTTCTAAAATCATTAACTGATTTTCTTCCAGAGGGGGAAAATAAAAAAGCCAGAAAAGGAAGCAAAGCAGGATTTTTACCTTCCAGATGCAGAAACTAGAACTTAAATTTACCTGCAATGCTGGTTACCATGAAACTGAAAATATTTATTTGATTCACCAATAAAGATTTTATAATATTGCTGAATCTAAAGCTCTCTCTTCATCACAATCATCCTTCCGCCACACTATTAAGATAGTATAAGTTAATGTTAGAAAGTTTAAACTCTTTATGCTAATGCTACACAAACAGTGATATTCATTAGATATATTTAGATATTTTATTTTCATAAAAATCATCACACCATACTCACAAGCACCATCTTCATCGTAGTTACTAAGATCTGCATGGACCGTTCTGCTGAATTCTAATACATTGTACCACTGATCTTTGTTCATGACACGATACTTTGATTGCTACAGAAAATGATAAAATAATTTCACATATAGAATAAACATTACATGAAGCCTGCAATAAGGAAATCTAGTTATAATATTGTATACGGGGTTGTCTGGTTTTCAAATATTATCTGCATGTGTTTCTAAGAATATTCTCAGTGGCATTTACATGTTGCTACCATCTTATCAAATTGTTTCCTTTTTCTTTCATTTTTTTTCCAGAATAACAATGACATCAAGGATACACAAGGGTAAAGTTCAATGTATTTCTACATAAAGCTCAAGTATACTTACACATGTATTTAACTGTAGCCACCAAGACAATAAACATAAAGATTATTTCCCACAGCAAAAGTTCGCTCTATAGCTCTCCAGAGTAAAGAATTTCTTTACATGAAATTAAATTTAATCACATTTTGAAGCTGGCATCTTTGAAGGCACTGGAAATTGTGTATAGGCTTGGGTTCAAATGCCATTTATTTAAGTGTCCTTCAGAAAATTACTAAAATAATTCATTGATGCATCTGCTAAAAGGGAATAAAATGTAACACAAAATGGTGTTAAAAAGATGGAGAAATGTTTGTCAAGTATCCTCCATGTTAACAAATATTTACAAGTCATTAATTTATTTCTCCTCAACTATTCCTCCAAGGTGAATCTTCTTACATTTAGTTAAAGTTTAATTTTTGCCTAGAGCTACTATTAAGAGGAGAAATAATAATATCCATAAAAAAAATCCACATTTATACTTACTATTCAAGCATGCATAAAATCTACACATAAAGCAATTTTCTAATACCAATGTCTAATTTACAAGTTTCATGTAAAACTACTCAAGGAAACTTTCTATGTGAACTATCAGGTATATGAAATACTACTTTCAAAGTGGAAAAATATCTACATTCCAGATATGGTGCAAATGATACATAAAGACTATAAATAGAACAAAAGCATTTGGAAAGGAAAAAAAAATCATTTTTTTACAAGCAATAGCTATAATAGGTGCTATGATAAAGATTCTGTAAGAGCAGCTTCTTAAAAGCCACATACATTTGTAAGTAATCAGCACATTTAAGTATATACTATTAGAGATAGTTGCCAGTTTTGTCAATAAATTAAAAGTTTTATTCTATTTCTTTAGGTTGAGCCAATTTAAAAAACTCAACTTGCAACTTTGTTTTCCTAGGTAGCTTTCAGTAAGAAATCCTATAAAAAAGTAATAAAATTTAGAATAGTATTTATGTGGTATTAATAATTCTCTCTTGCAAAAACTTGAGAAATTTAATTTTACATTAATTATGCCTGTGGTGCTAAAATATATAATTTGGGGAAGGAGAGGAAAAATAAAAATATGTATAGAATTTATCTATGGTATCTAACAGTAGATAGGTACACAGTGAAAATATCTAGAAAGTAATTCATTTTGACAAGCTGATGGAGAAAAAAGGACAGTTTAAAAAAATATATTTTAACTTGTTTTTCCTCAAAGGAATTTTCAATTAAAATTAAATTTGGAAAATACTATTTCAAAGTAAAAGCACATATATATACATACCTCCAGGTACTGGTAAAATACTGAAAACAGTGGCCATGTCCTTCCAAGGAGAAGAGCTAACATAGACTTAGCAGTATCAATATCAAGGCTTCTCTGATCTTTATCCTAAAGTGAATACAGAAAAGTCTCCCAAGTATGGTCTCAGGATGATTAAAAAATAATAATTACAAAACACAGAAACTTGCACCTACCCTTGCAAAATCAAAGGCATATCTGTAGATATTCTTAAAAGCTGAAATATCATTCAATTGTGAGCGCAAAAATTCAAATTTGTTCTGTAACTTTTCTGTGCAGTCACACCTTAAATAAAAATTGAACAAATTATATAATCAAAAAAATTCTAATTCTTTAGGAGTTAAAAGACACACACTGAGAAAAAAATTAATGGATTTTTGAAGTTAATTTAAGTTGAAAATTCTAGTTTACCAATTAATAAAAGCCTTCTAACTCAATCATAAATGTCGAATAAAGTAAGAATCTTTTTAAAAAGAAGTGTACACAAATATGATGACATACCAAACTAATAACTAGGAAAATGAAATTAACTAGCTTCTCTCATACACTTCTTTGAAAAGTGTTAAAACTTGTAAACACATTTGCAATTTTAAAAGTTAAAGATTTAACACAGGAAATTAATTATGTATGATATTAGCAAATGGAGTCATAAACTAAGATTTTCCATTTTAGTGTCAACTATCAGAACATCTAACAGCAAATGAGATACATAATGGAAAAGCAGGCAAACAGGTAGTTATGGGTGTTATTGCTAAAAACATTACATATAAGCTGCTAAATAGACAAAACACTCAACAATTTGTAAAGCTGTCTTAAGAGGTTTATGATTTTCACTGTTTAGCAAGGAGCAAAGCAGGGAAGGCCTCTCACAATTTGCATAAATCTCAGTCTCGAAAGTCAGCCCTCGACACAAGGGTTTGGAAGCAGAAAAAAACAAGGTAAAAACAAAAAATAGAGAAAAAAAAAAAAAAAAAAATAAATCTCAGTCTCATCTCCGGCCACTTTCCAACATCCTCAATGTGCTCCAGTTACATTTTACTTACTGTTCCCAAATCACTCTGTGCAATTCTTACATGTGTTTATTCTCAATCTTTCAGGATGTGCTAGCCTGTCAAATTGAAATGTTATAGCTTCTCCTATTCTTAAAAAATATCAAGACCTTTTTGCCATCATCTCACATTTTGCCACTATCCAGGAGAACAAGTGACATAAGTTGAAAAGGTTAGCAGTGTAAATCACCAGCAGTTCCAAAGAAGAAAGAAGAGGCAGCCTCCCCAGACTTTCAACCTCAGGAACCTGAAGGAGGGTGGGTCACTATGAGTCAGAAAAGGCTCCAAGGTTGGAGATTTGGTTTTTGAGTATGAAAGATTATCAGCTAATCAAATTAGTTGCACCATCTACTGTGATGCACAATATTCCTTTCAATTGAGTTTTAGTGTTTGTCACACTCAGCATTCACAGACTTAACTGGTGATGTTAGCATTGTGAAGACCAATAGCATGTAGTAACTGAAAAGATATAAACATTTTGGATAAGCTTCTTATGTTAATTAAACCTCGAATTTTTAAATTAAATAAAATTTGGTCATGTTATTTAGTGTCTACTCATTGCAGTTTTCTGCTATGTTTATAAAAGACTGCTTATAAATTTCTCATTTCTTAGTCTCTTTGCTAGTTTTGTTAACAAAAAATATTTCTATTTGTTCAAGATCAGCTGTAAAACCATCTGGCCTTTTCATTCAAAAAAGAAAAAGAAAATTCCCTAAATTAACAATTCAATGGCTATATAGGAACATATAAATTTTTATTTTTTTTTTACAAGTGAGTTTTTATGTTTTTCAGGAATAACTTGTTTTAAAACAGTGAGCAATTCTCTAACTACAATAAAATTGGTAAAATCCTAGTTATGATGACAAAGACAGAAGACAAAACAATTTTCATGAATAAAACAATGGCTACCACTATTGCCTCAAAAATAAAAAGTAGTAATGTAATACTGTATATGAACAACTATCTATATACAAATTTGACAACTGAGGTAAAAAGGATGCAATCCTGAAAAAACCAGAACTACCACAAAATATCTAATAGAAAAATTATGTCAATAGTTATTCTGTAAGTACAGTGAAAATTTAATTTGTAATTTTAAAATTTAAACTTAAAAAAATAATTACAAAAACAAAAAACCTTACCCTCCTTACCCTCTGATAGGTTATTCTAGAGAAGTTTAACAAATATTAAAAAAACTGAATCTTGGCCTACTGGCAAGAAGCTGTGCTACAATCCCAAACGCACACAGTTTGAATCTACCAGATGCTCTGCAGGAGAAGGAGGGGCAATCTCCTCCTGTGCCAGTCGGATTTGTTTCGACTGCACACAGCAAGTAATAAAAAAAAAAAAATAAAAAATAAAAAAAAACAACCCACAACCCCCCCAAAAGAAAAGCCCAAAAACTAAGTCTATAAGCAGCTTCAAAAATGTTAGAGGAGATAAAAAGGTCATTATTTAATAAAGGTAGTATTATCTATTTTCAAAGCAAGGAAAAAAGCAGCAGTGTCATAATCTTGTTGTTATTGTTTTTATTATACTAGTTTATTAAATTTGGATATACTATTTTCCAGAACAGATTCTTTCAATTTCCCTCTAGCACCCCACCCATCAAATTGTACAACTCCCCTCCTCCTGCACATCCTCATCCCTCTGCTTCCACCAACCCCCACTTTGGATCCTTCGGATTCATTCTTCAATAATCTTTTTATACAATATTTATCCTTGTGGAACCGAGTTAGTTCACTCAGTATAATACTCTGCAGTCCCTCCCAAGTTAGGTGGTAATTTCCAAAATCTTTGCTCCTTGAGTGCTGCGTAGTATTCCACTGTATGAATGTACTATAATTTCTCAATCCATTCATTTGTGGTTGGACATCTGGACTGTTTTCACGGTTTTGCAATGGAGACTAATGCTGCTATGAAAATTGGTGTACAAGTCTCCGTTTGTGACTCAGTTCTCATTTTCTCACAGTATATTCCAAGTAGTGGAATAGCTGGGTCATATGGAATTTCTATGTCCAATTTTTTGAGGAAGCACCAAAATGCCTTCCAGAATGGTTGTAACATTTTACAATCCCACCAACAATGTGTAAGAGTTTCTTTCTCATAACATTTACAGAATACCCCTAGGTTTCCACAAGAAGACTGATAACCCAATTACAAAATGGGCAAAAGACATGGAAAGAATTTTCACAGAGGAAGATATTCAAATCGCAAACAGACACATGAAGAAATGCTCCAAATCACTGGTAATGAGAGATGCAAATCAAAACCACAATGAAGTACCATCTCACTCCAGTAATAGTGACAAAAATTAACAAGGCTGCAAATAATAAATGTTTGAGAGGATATGGCAAAAAGGAATCCTTATACATTGCTGGTGGGATTGTAAAATGGTACACCCATTCTGGAAAGCAGTTTGGCGCTTCCTCAAAAAAACTGAACATAAAAATTCAATATAACCAAGCTATTCCTCTACATGGTATATGTTGTTGTTAAGTGCCATCAAGTCGAAGGTGACTCATAGAGACCCTATAAACAAAAGTACTCAACACTTGAGTGACTTTCATAATTTCTCCAGGTTCACAGGGTTTCTGGAGGCAAGCTATTTACGGAAGTGGATGCCACTCCTGCTTCCTCTTGGCATATACCCTGAGAAAATGAGAACTGGGGCACAAACGGAGATTTGTACACCAATGTTCGTGGCAGCATTATTCACCATCACAACAAACAGCCCAGATGTCCAACCACAAATGAATGGATTGAAAAATTATGGTACATTCACACAATGGAATACTATGCAGCATGTAGAAGCAATGATTTTGTAAATTATTACCTAACTTGGGAGGGAATGGAGAGCATTATGCTGAGTGAACTCAGTCCCACAAGGATAAATATTGTATAAAACTATTATTGTAGAATGAGTATAAGGATCCAAGAGGGATGGGAGAGGGTGGAAGCAGAGGGATAAGGATGTGCGGGGGGGGGATTAACCATGGGGTTGTACAATTTGATGGGTGGGGGAATAAGGGCATTTGAAAGAATCTGATTTCAGAAACAATGTGTCTAATTTTATAAATAAACTAGTATGAAATAAAAAAAATTTACAAACCCCTCCAAATCAAAATTTAAAAAAAAAAATCAACACAACAAAGCCACAATAAGGTACCACCTCACTCCAGTAACAGTGGCAAAGTTTAACAGGGCAGCAAGAGAGGATATGGCGAAATAGGAACTCTTACACATAGTGTCATAATCTTGGCTTCAATTCATACCAGTCCTACATAGAACAGGATGAAACACTGTCCAGTCCTCAATCTCTGCTATGCTAAAACCCATCGACCCAGTTAACCTTGTCAATCCATATTATGAGGGTTTTCTCATTTGCTGACACTCCAAAGATGAGTGGAAAAACCACTCATATTTCCAAATAGGATTCTGTTTCCAGGGATTAATTAGTCCCTCCTAACAACAGGTTCAATGTAAGATAAAGTCACTATTCTTTGATGGCATCTTACAAAACAGGTTTATTCTTTCGACCTTCAACAGTACAGTCAATATTCTTTGTCAACACCCTGATGCACATCTTTCTGGATTCCAAACCATAAAGGATCCTTTTGTTCTGTTTGAACAACTGCTTCTTAGTCTATATATACACAAGCATAAGTAAGTGTTCTAGAATACCCCTTCTGCTCAATACTATCCATAATTAATTTTGATGTATGCAAATACTTTTGCATAGTCAATAAAAATACAAGTAAACACGTTTCTGGTATTCTCTGCTTTCAGTTCTGGTATATTCTTCAGCAGCAACAATATGTCTCATTCCACAGCCTTTTTCTGAATCCAGTTTTAATTTTTAGCAGTTCCTTGTGGATGTACTTGTGGACTGATCAAGAACAATCTTCAGCTTTACTTGTACATATTAATTGATCAAAAATTCCCATACTCTGCTGCATTACCTTGGCAAATGAGTGGGGGGTGGGAGGGAATGGGCACAAACACAGCCCTCTCTAATCAGCTGGTCAGTTATCTTTTAAATTTTTTTACAAAGAAAAGTGAGTACTTAGAAGACTGCATCTGTTTAAACACTTCAATTGATATTCTGTCAATTCCTGCAGTTTCATCTGCTGCCAATGCTTTCAGTGCAGCTTGGACCTTTTTCTTTGCTACTATTGGTTCTAGACCCTATGCTTCTTCCTAAAATGGTTCAGTGCCATCCAATTCTTTCTGGCA